CCCCCTCTGTTGCATAAAAGCTGGAAGGATGCCATCCGCACCCGAAAACTTATATTTTTCGAAGGAGACCACAGCCCACTTGATGGAGTCCGCAGTGAAGAGCTGTTTTGCGGCTGTCCAATCTAAGCGAGTTTACTTTCGTTCGACCCGTTCGGGTAATGCGCACGTAGAAGGGCCTTGGCTCTTTCATCCGCGCTGGACGTATAGTTCCCATCCGGTCTTTTAATTGCTAGTACTGTGTCGGTCTTGCCCCTAGCAAGAGCCGTATGCAGCCTTGCAGCCTCTGTCGTTGAGGAGACGCTTTCACAGAACTTCTTGGAGCTCTTCTGCTTTGCTGACCTAATCTCCTTGTTGTAAGCAATTAGGCCGCACCTGTAGTTCTCCCTGTCCCCGGTATGCTTAGCCCTGTTAAATAGCTTGCGTACCGTTTTCCTTAGACCTCTACCCCTAGTGCGAATCTAATGATGCGGTGATTCGACATGGAGGGTTCAGACGACACTCCATTGCCCGATCAGCCCTGTCATGAGTTCGTTACCAAGAGTGATGTCAAGCACCTCCCTTCTTACACTGGTTATAAAGGTGGGTTTGCACCCCACGTTTACAATACTTAGATTCCTACTTAATATAAATTCAAGTAAAGACTCACCCCGTGTATTTTTGGGGCGCTGCCCTTTCGCAACACCACCTTGCGGTCTGAGTTGCGTTAACCGGGCGTTGGCTTCGATTTCCGCTGCTCATTTTACAGCTAGACGCGGTATGCCTCTCCTCCTGGGATCGTCCTGCCCGCCTGGACTCCCATTTGGTAATAGAGGGGGTAGTCTGCCCCTGAAACTCCCTTACCTGCACAGGCGCTAGTTTTGTTGGCCTTGTCCTTGTCCGTTTGCTGTTGTTGTTGCCTTTTGGTGTCCGTTGTTGTGTTGTTCGTTGGTTTTTGTTTGGTTTGGTACATCTTTTTCTTACGATCGTATGCTCGACTTGGCGAGCCGTCCGGTCAACGTTTTATGAGGGGAACGCAAAAGTCCACCGCGCCAAAGCCCCATGACGTGGCAAGGCCACCGTTACTTCCCAATGCGGCCCGGTATTGGGAGGCTCCGCTAGTATACAGCCGAATTTACCTCCTGGCTGCAAATCATCCAATGGACACGGGAGTCGAGTAACACCCTGGATTAGGAGGTGGCAGCTCTTGGTTGTCGCATGCAAGCGGCTTCTGACAACCCGCGTGAGAGGTAATAGGCAGGACTTCTCACCCTGGTTGGGAGATGCCAAGAATGCCTTGCGACCTAAGGCCCTGCACCACGGCAAGGTGCCTGCCATTCGCAGGAGCCTGGCTCAATAAGCAGGCAAACGTGGCAGAATTAGAATGTGGTCCGCACATGCCGACTATTAAAATTCAAACGGAATGATATAAGAACTCTAGTAGGGGTTCTAACAGACGACTGTCTAATAGGCAGACATGCCAGTAGACTAGGAACGCCATATAACGATGTAGAAGCTGTCATGCGGTAGAAGAGCAGGAGACCATTTAACATTTTCTATGTCATACTGATGAAGTTCATCAGAAGCATGGGATGGTTCAGAGAGGAACCAATAGAGTCTGCGGACTTTGGTCTCGGTGGTATGACAATGGGTCTCCTAAAGGCCTATGTGTGTCGTTATACAGCCAATATACCTACCTACCTACCTGCTTACTTAAGTTTAGTATGTTACTCCTTTACAATATTATACAATATATTATAAACATACAATATATAAAAACACAAGTGTATTGGATTAACATTGGGTCGGCTTAAGTATACCGTCCCAGGCTTTCGGGGGTAAAATGGGTATGGGCGGATAGAGGAGATCCTCCAGATCAAGAATATATATAGATATAGCCGCGGGAAACTTATAGTTTTCGAGATATTTACGTTTAAAATTGAAAATTTCAACTATTTAAAGTACGTATTTTTGCGATTTAAAATGAACTATTAACTTATATATTTCACTTTTATATCCACTAACACTTGACTAATTCGTTTTTAGACATTTTTTTATATAAGATACTGTAAAAATAGCTGTATTTCAATATTTAAATCATTCTTCAATTTTATTAATTTTGACAATAACATAATGGTTGTGAATGGTAAAACACTAGTGTTGCCATACTAATATATTTTGTACACGAAGAAAAATAAAATAAACAGAGAGATTATACCCTAGATACAGGAAGCAACGCAAAAATAATTACTGCGCGTAAAAACCTTGGTACAACCCGGTGTTGGACCGACCAAGGTTTTTTTGTTTTTGAAGCGTGGCCGAATTCCGCCAACGCAAAAAGAAGCCCTGCGCAAAAAAACCTTGATACACCCCGGTGTTGGACTGACCAGAGTTATTTTTTTGAAGCGCGGCCGAAGGCCACCAACGCAAAAAGAAGTTCTGAGCGAAAAGACCTTGGTACATCCCGGTGTTGGACCTACGAGGGTAAGTATGAAGTGAAAAATATAATGTATAATTCATTTGAAATCGAAAAATGCATACTCTAAATATTGGAAATTTTCAATTTTAAACGTAAATATCTCGAAAACTATAAGTTTCCCGCGGCTATATCTATCTATATCTATATATATTCTTGATCTATAGGATCTCCTCTATCCGCCCATACCCATTTTACCTCCGAAAGCCTGGGACGGTATACCAAAGTTTTTCCCTAACATTAGCCGCATTTTTAAATGTAAATGCTTTCACCCGTGAAAATATTTTTGAAACGAACTTTCGCTTTGACGTATGGCTACATAAGAAAGTTGCATGCAATTTCGAATATTTTCCGCAGTAACACATATTCCTTACTGGCATGTGTCGCAGTAGCTGTGTTGTGAGAAGTTTGATAGTGTAGAGTCCGGGTAAAACTATTAGTAAAAATTAGTAAATACTCTATTAAGAGTGGCACCCCTATTCGTAATTTATTTTGGCGGAAGATTTGTGCAAATGTTTAAATGGTGATCACATTTTCGAGATAGTAAACAGAAAAGTAATGGAAAAGTTAAAGTGTTGTAAACAAAGTCCTGAAGCCTTTTTAGGCCCTATGGAGGATTTGTGGACCCCTTACAAACATCTAAATAATGTAATTCAAAGAAACTTGTGTAATCCTACAGATCAGTCTTTGATTGAATTGGAGAGTCATTTAAAGAAATATAAACAAAGTTTTACATCGTTGCTCCTGTACCCGGTAGGTTTTAACAAATTGGTATATTTAGAAAAATTTGTGTGGTAAAGATTATTCATAATTGTGGTTGTTAATGTACCAGTAAATTCGAAAACAATTTTAAGGAATACTGCCGAGTTGACAGTCTTTGGCCGGATATAATTGCGGGCCTGTTCGGGTTATTTTGAACTGATTAAGGTGGGAAGGGCATTATTCAATACTAGTTTTTTGCTTGAAAAATATAGAAACATGATTTGAGAACTATCGTTGGGTTGATACATACATATACGGAGTTTTAATCTGATTTATGTTCAGCTTCAATACCCGATGATCAGCTTATATCGGGGCATAAATTTTATAACATTTTCACACGTTTACTGTCCATGTTATTCAATTTGTAGTGTATAAATCTATTGTATATAAAAAAACGCGTGAAGATTTTATTTAATTAATTGTCACACACACATTGTCAAATGACAAAAAATATATTCCTATGATTTTGGGTGATTAGAATAGAAATCTTATTGGCGCACAATCTCTGCAGGCTAAAAAGGACATTAAGATTTTAGGTTCGCATTTATTTCATTTACCTTCAATTAAAAACTGCCGTTCGGTTTTTTAAAATTTATTTTCATATATTTTTTTGGAAATTTATAGTTTAGGTCTCTTATTTTTACGCGTAGATTACAAATCCGTGAGCAGAAAGTGAATTTTTCAATATTTCTATTTTTTATTTTATAGTTGGGGGATCTAAACTATACATTTACCATTTTTTCCCCTTGGATTCATAAATATTCCTTGGACTTTTCCGATGGACATAGGTAGATTTTTAAACATATTTTGAACTCTGAAATACTCTATAAACAGGTGTGAATACAAGCTCGTTATAAAGAAGTTCAAATAGAAGAAATCTAAACACATGTAAGGAAAATATAAAAGAATTTATGTATATGACACAAGAGCAAACCGTCTAAGGGTTGTAAATAAAAGATAAGCTTGTTCTACTTGGTAATAATTGCTCTAAAATTGTATCGATTTAATTTTATCACAAAAATCAACTCATGTTTTTATATTATCTATGGTATATTTCTTTTTACATTTATATGCCAGTGCATAAATAGAAGTAAGAATATTTGGACAATTTTTAGACAATATCTAAATTATTTATTCATAGAGGAAAAGCCCATGACGATCAGACCTATGTACAACAAAAACATCAGACCTTCGTTACTTAGTTTTGTGGATTGTCTCTATATACATAAGAATGTCCAACGACCAACGACCAACGTTTTCGTTACTTAGGCTGATAACAGGAGGCAAAGATGTATAAAATAGCACACAACGCTACTTGAGGCCATCGAACAATCTACGCTCCCTCGAGGGCTGAAGCGGTGGACCATGAACTACCTGAGCGGTCGGCACTCATCCGTACTGTTTCGAGGTCAAAACTTCAAACTGAGAGTCCCCTTTACTGTTAACTTCTACATCTCGAAACTCCCTCAACCACCAGAGTTAATTTCCGTGACCTCGTACGCTGATGACTGTACGATATTGACGTCGGGCAATGGAATCGATGGCATGTGTTCGAAAGTAAACCGCTATCTCTCTGGTCTTTCTCGCTTCTTCTCTGCAAGGAGTCTGACACTCTCCCCCACTAAATCCACAGCGACCATATTTACGAACTGGACGAAGGAGTACAGATTGGATCTAAACATTTCAATCGATGACACCAAAATTTCGGCGGCAAACAACCCTAAAATTTTAGGCGTTACACTAGACAGTCTTTGCTCCTTCACACGACCGCGATAACTGCCAAAGTACAGAACCGCAACAAAATCCTCAAATCGTTTGCTGGCAGCTCTTGGGGGAAAATACAAAGAAACGTTGCTGGCGACATACAAGGCAATCGGCCGGCCTGTCGACAAGGAGACGGAGTTTGTCTCTGGGGAGGTTAATAATTGCTCTGAACCTGGCTAGGTTGAACCCTCCCAGTAGCAGTTTGGCCTGACGCATCCCTGCTGTCTGTTGCCAGTGACTGTCTCTGCTCGATCTCTCCTCCGTGCGGAGCAGTTCCTTTATTGTATGGGGCCCTACCGCAATGTATGGTTCTGGCCCCATCATTCTTGTAGTCGCAGCAGAGCGGGCGAGTTAGTCTGCCAGCTCGTTGCCGGCTACCCCTTTATGCCCCGGCACCCAGATCAGGTGTACACGGTTGCAAGCTGCTAGGCGGTTAAGCCTTCCTATACACTCCTCCACTAATAGCGATCGTATCTCATAGGCCGATATCGCTTTTAGCGCCGCTTGGCTATCGCTGAGTATTGCGATACTCTTATTCCGATAGTTGCGTTGGAGATTTATTACTGCGCACTGACTTATGGCAAATACTTCTGCCTGAAAAATGCTTGGAAAACTGCCCATGGGAATGGAAAGCTTGGTGTGCGGTCCCGCAATGCCAGCGCCAATTCCTTCTGGTGTTTTCGAGCCGTCAGTGTACCACTGAATAGTGCTACCTCTCAGCAGTTGGTCAAGTGTGGAATCGCTCCAGTTCGCCTTACTGCCGAGAGTAACTTTAAACTTTTTCGTAAAGTTTACTCTCTTCGTTATACCGTCTCTTGGAAGGAGGGCCAGTGGCGTGTTATCTTCTAAGGCCCTCATTTGTTGAGACGAGATTAACTTCCCTTTACCATACCCCTCTGCTGTCATAAGCAGCATGGTATGCTTCGCAGTCTGATTGATAACGAAATGGAGTGGTGTGAGCTCTAGCATGACCTCAAGTGCTGCGGTTTGGCAGGTGCGCATTGCCCCAGTGGCGCAGACGCAGGCAAGTCTCTGCAGCTTCGATAGCTGAAGGCCTATCGAAGTCTGCTTTGCTTTCGATGCCCAAACCACCGCTCCATAAGTAACAATAGGTCTCACGATCATGGTGTACAGCCACCTGATGATACTAGGTTTGCAGCCCCAGGATCTGCCGGCGAGGCGTCTGCACACCATGAGCGCCTTTCCATTGTTCGTTAGCAACTCAAGGAGTTCATCTACTACGAGGCTCCATAGAAGGGGTGACAATACCCCACCCTGGGGGCAGCCTCTCGTAGTACCAAGACGTATCTTGCTCTCCCCCACCGTAGTTTCTGCAATCCTAGTGTGCAGTACGGCCTTAATCCATCTGCATATAGGAGCTTCCACGTTCCTCTTCTCCAGTGCCCTGATCACGCTTGCGTGAGACGCATTATCAAAAGCACCTTCAATGTCTAGGAAAGCACATATCGCAACCTCATTATTCTCCAGCGAGTTCTGGATCTCAGCCGTTAATTGGTACAGAGCAGTGTTAGTAGACCTACCTACCCTGTACGCGTGCTGATTTGCATGCAGAGGTGCGACTTTTAGTGCTTTCGATCTTATATGGTTGTCTATAATCTTTTCCATACCTTTTAGCATGAAGGAGGTGAGACTAATAGGCCTGAAGGATTTGGCTAGTGAATAGTCCTTCCTTCCTACCTTAGGTATGAAGATTACCCTAGCTATTCTCCACGTTGATGGGATGTACGACAACGCAAGGCTATCCCTCATCAGCCCAACAAGGAACGGCAATAGAGCTTGCCCTCCTTGCTGTAGAAGTGCTGGGAAGATGCCGTCGGCCCCTGGTGACTTGTATCTCGAGAAGGAAGCCAGTGCCCACTTGATTGAGTCTGCATTGAATGGAATCCTTGCAGGTGTCCAATCTGAGCGATCTGGCTTATGTGCGACCACTGGTGGAATTTGGTCGTCCCGAATAGTCTTCGGGAAGTGCTCAAGCAAGAGTGCCATGGCCCTCTCGTCTGCGTTGCTCGTATAGGTCCCATCGGATCTTTTAATGGCTAATGCTGTGTCAGTCTTACCTCTTGCCAGAGCCTTATGCAGTCTTGCAGCCTCTGGAGTAGAGGAGACATTTTCACAGAATTTTCTGAAACTACTCGTTTTTGCAGACCTAATTTCCTTATTGTAGGTTGTTAGGTGTTGCCTATATTCCTCCCAGTTGCCGGTTCTTTTGGCTTTGTTAAAAAGCCTGCGAACTGATTTTCTAATCACTGAGAGTTTACTTGTCCACCAAGGACAGCCTTGTCTTTTGGTGGTTGACTTTAATGGGCAAGCGCAATGGTACGCGTCTGTTATGAACTGGTTAGTCGCAGCCAGCCTGCTCTCTAGTCCTATCGGCGTAGCCTCGCTTCCTACCTGCCTCACTCTACTAATATTTAGCTCTAGGGTCTCTCTGAAAACATCCCATTTTGTGTTTCTGGGAATACGGACTGGCAGGAGATCCTTGACCTCCACTTTCATTGCGAACCGTAAGATCCTGTGATCTGACATAGAGGGCTCTTTCGATACTCTCCATTGTGAGATCAGCCCGGACATTAGCTCATTGCACAAAGTTATGTCGAGGACCTCCCTTCTGGTACTGGTAATGAAGGTGGGTTCGCACCCCACATTCTCAATGCTTAAGTTATTACTAATAATGAATTCAAGAAGAGACTCACCCCTTGCATTGCAGTCAGTGCTGCCCCACTCCGTGTGGTGCGCATTTGCATCGCACCCCAGTACGAGGGGGAGCTTATTTCTCCTGCAGTATTCCATTAGATGGTGAATTTCGTTGGGGGGTGCTGTGGTTGTCTCCCCTGGGAAATATGCCGCTGCAAGGACGAAGTCTGCACCTTCCTTGTCCTTCACCTGCACCGCGACCAGATCCTGCGTTAGGAACTCTGAAATACAGAAGAAATCAATATCGTTCCTAACCACTACACAAGACCGGGGTCTCTTAGATGAGAGATCCCAGATTACCTTGCTTGCTTTTATATTGAGGCCCCTGACCTCCCCTCTAAAGACCCACGGCTCCTGGATTAATAGGATACCCAGGTTATCCGAAAGGAACCTACTCGCGATAACAGCCGAGGCTGCTGTCGCGTGGTGTAGGTTTACCTGGGCAACTTCTATGTTGGTAGTGGCGGTCACAGGACTGGTTCCAGGAGGGACAGATCATCGTCATCGCTGTCCTTGTTGTTACCCTGCTGGTCCTGCCCCTTCAGCCCCTCTAGGAGCTCCTGTGTGGAGGGTAGGTCCCCTTCACACTCCTTAGCACATATGTTCGGTGCTCCTTCTGCGGCATCTGTAGCATCCTGCACCACCGTAGCAGTAGCAACCTGCCCGAGTGTGCCGGTACTGGACTGAGTGGGCGCCTCATCCACCACCATTGCTTCTTCCGCCGTTCCTTCCGCCGGTGTGGTTTTGGGCCTCCAAGGCCTCATTACCACACTGCTGAACCTAAAGTTCAGCCTGAATCCCTCCTTCCGGATGAATTTGTAGGACTCGTCATCGATGGTGATGTTGAGCCTCCATCCAGCGTCCTCAATGTTGCTGTCCACTACCCTCCAAGCCGATGTACCGAGCCCATCGTTTTGGTTTCGTATGAGACCAAGTGCAAACTCGTAGGGTTTACCTGCGCTCCTGGGAAGGAATACCGTCATGCAGTGCATAGGCGGTATGTCTTCACCCCTCTTCGCGCATAGGACCGGGCCTCTCCATCCGTTTAGCTTCGGAGCGATCTCCGCAAGCCAGGTGGTCGTCCTTTCGTCTTTACAGTCGACTAGCAGCATTCCTGACCTGAAGTACACACCATGGAATGAGCCGGTGTACCCACACCCATTGTAAACCTCATCCATAATGCTATCTTGCAGCGCTGTTAGTTCCTCTGGCCCCAAGGCCTCCGCCGGATAATTGTGAGGCAGCACAGCCATCCGGATGCCTTTAAGGGCTTCCGAGTATTTGCGCTGACCGCCATCACCCGGGTTGGGATTTGGAGCAGGACGTTGTCCTCCGATCGCCGGTGGCTGATTCCCCTTTTGCCTTTTTGAACTTGGGGGTTCTTGAGGCGTTATCTGCCCGCTCTTCCTTTTCGCGGATTGTTCTGTGGCGTTCCGTGGTTCCGCCTTTCCGCACCCTCGTTTCCCAGGCTGGGTTGCGTTTCCTCGGCTGAACGTCTGGTTCCCGCGTCCCGCGACGGACGCGGCGTTTGCATGCTTCGTCGCAGCCGGAGATGGGTTGCTGCCCCTGCTCCTGCTTGTGGCGAGTCTAAATGCTTCTTCTGGGGATTTGCCATCCTGCAAGTGCCTGAGGTACCATTTTAGGGTAGCACCGCTCATGCCTCTCCTGCGTGGATCATCTGGGCCACCCGGGCATCCCGCTGCTGGTTCAGGGGGCATTCTCCCCCCCCGCTTCCTCTTCCTTTTGCGCACTTCTGCCCCATCCCGTTTGGATTCGTCCTCCTCCGAGCAGCTGAGCCTGCTTGAGGAGGTTGCTGCGGGTTCAGATTTATCTGCACTCTTCGCAGTAGCAGTAGCACGTCGTCATCATCACGTGCGTGCTCCTCAAACAGTGCGCGCTCTTCTGGCGAAAGAGCGTCCAGGAAGCTGAACTTGCGCCTAGCTCCTGGACCACTCTTACCTGCAACGGTCGCTTTGCAGTTTGATGTTGTCGTTGTCAATTTGGTGATTGCTGGTGTCGTCGTCGTTGTTGTTTCATTGTTTAGGGTTTTTTGTGTTGGTTTGTTGTTGTTGTCGCTCATTCTGTTTCGTACGACCCTTAGCTCAGCAGGGTGAGCATCCGGGTCTATTCTGTTAAAGGGGGAACGGAAATGTCCGCCGCGCCAGAGCCCCTTGACGCGGTAAAGCCACAGTTACTTCCCAAGGCGGCCCGGTATTGGGAAGGCTCCGTTAAAATACAGCCGAATTTACCTCCTGGCTGCAAATCGTCCAATGGGCACGGGAGTCGCATAACACCCTGGATTAGGAGGTGGCAGCTCTTGGTTGTCGCACGCATGCGGCTTCTAGCAACCCGTGTGAGAGGTGCTGGTGCTAGACAACACTTCTCACCCCGGTTGGGAGATGCCGAGAATGCCTTGCGACCTAAGCCCCTGCACCACGGCAAGGTGCCTGCCATTCGCAGGAGGAGGCCTAGGTAACCGTTAAAACTACAACAACATGTATAAAATAGTACCAAAATTTCGTTAAAGTATGAAACGTATTTTTCTATATTCTCCGGGATAGCTTTTAAAAATCTCGTCATATATTGCCGGACACTTATGACAGTTTCTACCCATTGCCAGACACCCCGAAATGTATCTTATTTTATTATCTTTGGGAGGCGTGTAGTAAAAGCGGATGTCACTTAAAAAATTTTTTTGGAGGTTTTCTCTTGAAAACATTTTCACATACAGAAAAACCTTCGGCTTTTATAACATAAGGAAGCTCCAGTCGTCGTGGGCTTATATTTAAAAATATAAAGCCAATTACATAATTTGCATTATTAATTAATTTTAACTATATAATATATTTTAAGCAAAAAAATGAAAAACATCGACAACTATTGAAAAATGGTCTTATAGATGGTGTTCCAATATCGAAATATACTAGAAGTGTAGCAATTTCAAAGGAACTGCTGGATGAAGCAATTATAATATCGGATATGTTCAATGTGGATGAAATAATGACATTGGAACTACTTTGCACTGCGCAACGAGAAATTTTCAAACACCCAGGGCTATCAAGAGGTTTAGTTGCTGTTTTACTTTACTATGACGGAAAAAAGGCTTTAGTGCATTCGCTTAGAGATCTTTTTCGAGCGACTAATGGCATTTCATGGGTAACCGAAATGCCAAAAGAGGTACTTTTATATATTTTTCTACAAATAGGGGTTTCATATTTTAATATTTTTATTTGTAGATATCCAATTTAATAACTTCGTTCACCCAGAACTTGGTTAATCAATATAACATTCTCGAAAGGATCGTTGGCTTATTAGATGAGCTTGATATATCTAAAGAGGCAAGTAATTTGTATAATCATAAAAGATGTTAGTAGCACTATTTGAATTAAACGTAAATTTGTAAATTAAAATTTTTTTGACTTAACAAATTTTGTAAATGATTTTATGCTTTCGTATTATGTCTGTATTTTCATATTTGGCTTCTCTTTATATTTCCTCCAAGCTATTCAATATTTTAGGAGCAGCCGTGTTTAAAGTTGGAAATGTTACTACCATGCTAAGTTTCTTCAGTAGAACCTATGTGCCTATTTAGTTTGGTGCTAATTTGCTAAAAAAACACTCACCGCTTTCACTTTAACACTGCCTCTAAACCTTGTTTCCGAATAAAACGAAGATGCACTTTCACTTCAACAACAATTTATTAGTTTTCAAAATCGTCTAAACAAGTTTAAATTGCACTTTTAGTTTAATGTAAAAATTCAAAATGTCGCTTGCCTCAAAGAAATATTCGAAAAAAAGGTGTTATATTCGTAGTTGCAAGCTGACGGCGATCGATCGAAAAAAGAGGGCCGTATCCAGTGTGGTATGTGTGGTATCCCTCGGTGAGTTGTGTGAAGTTGTATGTATTGGTGTGTGGTGTTTTCGTGTGTTGGTGGGTCGCCATATTTATCGACCCGTTAGATTATAGTAAGTAAACTATAATATATATATTATATAAGTAAACCCTAATACGTAGACATGTAGGTATGTATTTATGTACTTGTGCAGTTGAGAGCTCGTTAAGGAGATCAATGCACTTCGACCTATTTATGCACGAATTGTTTGTACTTTGGTGTATGTACGCAACCCTGCTTGTTTTTGCAAGGGGTATTACGGAAAATATGCCAATGTAGACTTTGAATGTATAATATACGCAATCCTTCTTATTCTTGTTTTCCAAAGGACAAGGTATTACGGGATGTATGCCAATATGGACTTTGAATATAAAATGTACAACTGTATATTGTAAGGCTACGTATTGCTCATCCGATGCCTTTAAGGCTTCCGAGTATTTGCGCTGACCGCCATCACCCGGGTTGATTTGAGCAGGACGTTGTCCTCCGATCGCCGGTTGATTCCCTTGCCTTTTGAACTTGGGGTTCTTGAGGGTTATCGCCCGCTCTTCCTTTCGCGGATTGTTCTGTGGCGTTCCGTGGTTCCGCCTTTCCGCACCCTCGTTTCCCAGGCTGGGTTGCGTTCCTCGGCGAACGTCTGGTTCCCGCGTCCCGCGACGGACGCGGCGTTTGCATGCTTCGTCCGCAGCCGGAGATGGGCTGCGCCCTGCTCCTGCTTGTGGCTGAGTCTAAATGCTTCTGGGATTTGCCATCCTGCAAGTGCCTGAGGTACCATTTAGGGTAGCACCGCTCATGCCTCTCCTGCGTGGATCATCTGGGCCACCCGGGCATCCGCTGCTGGTCAGGGGATCTCCCCGCTTCCTCTTCCTTTGCGCACTTCGCCCATCCGTTTGGATGTTCTCCTCCGAGCAGTGAGCCTGCTTGAGGAGGTTGCTGGGTTCAGATTTATCTGCACTCTTCGTGCAGTAGCACGTCGTCATCATCAGTGCGTCTCCTCAAACAGTGCGCGCTCTTTCTGGAAGAGCGTCCAGGAAGCTGAACTTGCGCCGCTCCTGGACCACTCTTACCTGCAACGGTCGCTTTGCAGTTTGATGTTGCTCTGTCATGGTGATTCGTGTCCGTCGTTGTTGTTTCATTGTGGTTTTGTGTTGGTTTGTTGTTGTTGTCGCTCATTCTGTTTCTGCTGACCCTTAGCTCCAGCAGGGTGAGCATCCGGGTCTATTCTGTTAAAGGGGAACGGAGTCCGCCGCGCCAGAGCCCCTGACGCGGTAAAGCCACAGTTACTTCCAAGGCGGCCCGGTATTGGAAGGCTCCGTTAAAATACAGCCGAATTTACCTCCTGGCTGCAAATCGTCCAATGGGCACGGGAGTCGCATAACACCCTGGATTAGGAGGTGGCTCTTGGTTGTCGCACGCATGGGCTTAGCAACCCGTGTGAGGTGCTGGTGCTAGACAACACTTCTCACCCGTTGGGAGATGCCGAGAATGCCTTGCGACCAAGCCTGCACCACGGCAAGGTGCCTGCCATTCGCAGGAGGAGGCCTAAAACGTTAAAACTACAACAACATGTATAAATAGTACCAAAATTTCGTTAAAGTATGAAACGTATTTTCTATATTCTCCGGGATAGTTTTAAAATCTCGTCATATATTGCCGGACACTTATGACAGTTTCTACCCATTGCCAGACACCCCGAAATGTATCTTATTTTATTATCTTGGGAGGCGTGTAGTAAAAGCGGATGTCACTTAAAAATTTTTGGAGGTTTTCTTGAAAACATTTCACATACAGAAAACCTTCGGCTTTATAACATAAGGAAGTCTAGTCGTCGTGGGCTTATATTTAAAATATAAAGCCAATTACATAATTTGCATTATTAATTAATTTTAACTATATAATATATTTTAAGCAAAAAAAAACATCGACAACTATTGAAAATGGTCTTATAGATGGTGTTCCAAATCGAAATATACTAGAAGTGTAGCTTCAAAGGAACTGCTGGATGAAGCAATTATAATATCGGATATGTTCAATGTGGATGAAATAATGACATTGGAACTACTTCACTGCGCAACGAGAAATTTTCAAACACCCAGGGCTATCAGAGGTTTAGTTGCTGTTTTACTTTACATGACGGAAAAGGCTTTAGTGCATCTGCTTAGAGATCTTTTCGAGCGACTAATGGCATTTCATGGGTAACGAAATGCCAAAAGAGGTACTTTTATATATTTTCTACAAATAGTCATATTTTAATATTTTTATTTGTAGATATCCAATTTAATAACTTCGTTCACCCAGAACTTGGTTAATCAATATAACATTCTCGAAAGGATCGTTGGCTTATTAGAAGCTTGATATATCTAAGAGGCAAGTAATTTGTATAATCATAAAGATGTAGTAGCATATTTGAATTAAACGTAAATTTGTAAATTAAAATTTTTGACTTAACAAATTTTGTAAATGATTTATGCTTTCGTATTATGTCTGTATTTTCATATTTGGCTTCTTTATATTTCCTCCAAGCTATTCAATATTTTAGAGCAGCCGTGTTTAAAGTTGGAAATGTTAATACCATGCTAAGTTTCTTCAGTAGAACCTATGTGCTCATTTAGTTTGGTGCTAATTTGCTAAAAACACTCACCGCTTTCACTTTAACACTGCCTCTAAACCTTGTTTCCGAATAAAACGAAGATGCACTTTCACTTCAACAACAATTTATTACTAAAATCTCTAAAGTTAATGCCTATAACAAGTTTAAATTATTATTTAATGTAATTCAAAATGCTGCTTGCTCAAAGAAATATTCGAAAAAGGTGTTATATTCGTAGTTGCAAGCTGACGGCGATCGATCGAAAAAGAAGTATCCAGTGTGGTATGTGGTATCCCTCGGTGAGTTGTGTGAAGTTGTATGTATTGGTGTGTGGTTTTCGTGTTTGGGGTCGCTCATTTATCGACCCGTTGATTATAGTATAGTAAAACTATAATATATATATTATATAAGTAAACCCTAATACGTAGACATGTAGGTATGTATTTATGTACTTGTGCAGTTGAGAGCCGTTAAGGAGATCAATGCACTTCGACCATTTATGCACGAATTGTTTGTACTTTGGTGTATGACGCAACCCTGCTTTTTTTGCAAGGGGTATTACGGAAAAATGCCAATGTAGACTTTGAATGTATAATATACGCAATCCTTCTTATTCTTGTTTTCCAAAGGACAAGGTATTACGGGATGTATGCCAATATGGACTTTGAATATAAAATGTACAACTGTATATTGTATATGAACCAATATGTATGTATGTATATGATTTATAAAACATAATATTTTATTTTTAACTTTTGTTATTAATGATCCGTATGTAATTTACCGCACCGTTTATATAATTGCGTATTTGATTTTTTTTTGTACCCTATCTAGGGTATTAAACGATAGGCAGATTTTCTGCTTTATGTATTTCCAAATGTCCGTATATATGTATGTTCGCAGTGCGGAGAAATTGAAGTTGTTAATGTGCCGATATTTTACCGTATTCACTTATGTAGATATGTATGTATCACATTATAATATTGTACAAGTATTAAAATAGATAACGCACTTATGTATACATTTATCAATTTATAATATTGTACAAGTATTAAAATAGATAAAATTGAATTTATGTATGTATATGGATTGCTCTTGGCAATTCTCTGTTCTTTGCATATGATTTTTTTTCCTTCTCTGTTAAATTTTTAATTTGCCTTAGCTTACATGTTTTTGACGCAATCCTGCTTATTATGTTAAGCAATATTGTAAATACTGGAAATATTCTGGTATGTTGTTGGAAACGTGAAGTGAGTTTTGAATACACAAATGTAAGCATATAAGTCAC